GGCGAGGTGGGCCACTCGCGCGCGTTCGCTGCCCGCGAAATTAATTTCGCGAATTGAAAAGGTGACCCTTCAGACGCCAATACAATTAACCGTGAAACCCCGAACTTCATATTTTATACGGCACCGGGCGACACCGGGCAAATTGAAAGAGACAATTTTTGCGGCGAGCACAATCGCGGCAAATGGACGCGGCGGCGGGAACGCAGCGGCCTCGATTCGATGAATTGGCCGGCGTGGTTGGAGGGGCGACTGGAACGAGCGCGACATGGCGGCCGAACGGGGAAACATCGCGAGGCCCAACCCGATCCGCTGTACTCGGCGGCGACGGGGCCGCGGCGTGGGGGAAGGCCCCAGAAGACGCGTCTCGCTGTAGCCACACGTCGTCACACCTGACGTCACGCACTCGTTAGGGGGCAGATGGCCCCCCTCTCAACCGTGACGTTCGGTTCAGGCCACACTGGGTACCTGGCGGCGTCTACCCATGGGGCCTCTTTCCTTTCTCTTCGTCTCGCCCTCGACTCCCTCCTTCTCTGACCCTATCGCGGTCCCCTCTACCGGTGGCCCATAAGGCAAGGCAAAATAAAATAAAACTCCTGTCAAGGGAGTCCCCTTTTCCTCGCATGCACGCGCAGCTGCTCAGGTAGCACGAGCTACTTCCACATTAGAGGACGGAACTGCCGTGTGGGGTGCCGCGCGGCGTGCCCCATTAAAATTCCGTCTGGCCAGACGCCCGGCTGCTCCCTCGCGTGCTGCGTGCAACAAGGGGGCACGGGAAAGAAAGAGATTATTAAGGTGACGAACTTTCGATCGATTTGTTCGGCCACTGGGATGCGTCCCTCCTATGGTTTGTGCAGCGGTGAACGAGGGGAGAGACGATGTAATATTTCATTTTGAAGGAACGACATGGATCGTCGGGAAACTATCCCTGGAGATCATGGAAGAATATTCTCAATGCATAGGATATATAAATATCCTACAATTTCTGACGCTTTTAGGAACCTGAAAGACTCGAGATCTTCCATAGATATGTACGAAAGACGAATACGAACGTCTTGCCCGACGTCTTCTGAGAATTAGACCAAGGAAATGAGAAAGAACATTGACAGCAAATTGGTATCGAAGGCACGACGTGAACCCGATTCTGAGAATCGGTGGGAACAACACATAACGCTAAAATGGGCAAAGGTCCAGTGCCGTATATCGACAAATAGAGCCAGCCTCTTGCTCTATTAACGCCGGTACAAAGGAATCGGGGATATTAAGGCAAGCTTCCTGTCCAAGACCCCCAGTGGCCGTTTTCAGTGGCCAAGAAAGGGATCCGAGCTAATTATAACGGGGTCCCATAAAAATGTACAAAGGCGCGAAAACGAGCGCAAAGTGAGGCGGTTCATTGTCAGGCGGCGGTGCAAAGTGAGCAGAGCCTCTTAAACCGCGCCAAAGTGGCCAGTAACGAGGAAGACTCGGTTTTTAACGCCTAGACTGAAAGAGAGGAACTGCAGGCCGATTTGTCGTCGCTCGTAAATCCGTCCTGCTAATTCTCAGCACGAGACATCCGGTGTTCGGTGGTAAGGCGTTGCGGGGGCGGTTCGTGTGGTAAACATAATGTCCTGACCGTAAAACCTTTTGTCTGCGTGGTGTACCTTCGCTCGCCACCACGGATTGAACGCGTGCCTGGTCTGTCTTTGCCTAGCGTTACACCTGGAAACTTTGCCAAATCGGGTTCGGATCCTCTACCCGAACTTGGGGTCTCTTTCATCCGGAAGCGTCTCCAAATTCGTTCCTTTCTTCTTTTATGCGTTTCTCAATTGCCACGAGAAGATTCCACGAAAAGCGTCGTCCTGTCTATCCCAATCCTATTTTCCCTATTTTCATTAACCCTTTCGTTACGTCGTGGGTGTCGCGCGCGCAGTCTTTAGCATTTGGGCCCAAGTCTTTTGAACAAGGAAGAAAAAGAAAAACTGCAATAATGCTTGCAATACTTTGCGAAAAGAGCTAAACAGAACGGGAGCACTTGCCTTAATTTTTGACACAATTCTTGCGACCTATGACTATACATCCGTCGCGTGTAGACGACGTTTCGTGGTCGGTGACTATAGTCATCTGTACTAGCGAAGGGGTTAATTTCCCGACTCGACGTGATCTCGGGAACGTAATTATAATTGCTATTCGATCACGTAATGGAATGAGAGTTGAACAAGGAACAGTGACAAAGTAGATTGATATTCCCTATTGCTATTCCATACCATTTCACTCTACCCCAACTAAAATTACTAGTTCCTTTGCATCTGGACCAAGTGGTCATCGAGAAACTGACGAAGCTACGCAGTGTCTATCAAAGATCCGATCCAATCTTTCGACTGTCTCCGATACCATCATCGTCCGCGGAACATCTGCCACAGCTACTCTAGGAACGTATCCAGACACCGTTTCTCGCCTGCCAAAACTCCGTTACACCCACGACTGGAGGGTAGCACGCGTGACTGTCAAAACTGAAGACGGAATCATGAGGACGCAACGGGTCGTGGACTAAAGTGGCCTAGATAAAGGAGGGACGAAACGGAATCAAACGGTGCTCTGTATCTTTTCTTCCACCCTCGCGGGCCTTCCAATTCTTCGGCTGTTCGCGACAGATTGGCCGGCCCTCTCCACCGTATCCGGCCCCAATTTCCAGCTCCTCTCTAACGGGAGCTTAACAGCATCAAAAACGAACCGCATCGGAAGCGTTCACGATCGAGCGGCACAACTGTATCGTCTTTTTCCCGTGCCGTGCACAATGACTTTGGAACATATGTCGAACGACGGAGTTTCTCTCGGCCGCATCAAGATACGTTATTAACGCGTGCCGGGGGAGGGAAGCGGCTCGTTCTCGTGTAGAAAACTCGGTAGCGGGTAGAGCGCGAAAGTTGGATCGGGGGAGAAGAAGACGCACAGACAGACAGGATGGAGAGAGAAATAGAGAGAGAGAGAGAGAGTGAGGCAGAGACGAGTAAAGAGCGAAGGAAAATCCATTTTCATGTCGAGACCGACTCGAGCGCCTAGACACGTGGGTGGAGAAAGCAGAAGGACGAGAAAGGTGGGGTAGGTCGAGCCATCTGGTTCTTTTCCTACACACGACCACCTTGAGGGCCTTTTAAATCCACCAGAGACATGCACCTTGAGACCTGTTTGGGCCAAGGACCCTCGAACGCTTGGCCCTTTAAAGATCGACCCTGAAACGAAGACACCGAGACTGTACCCTTACCCCTGGCTCGCCTTAACAACCTCAAGGGTAACCGCACCATTCAGTGGTCCGGCTCTCTTCAATTTTTTAATACGCGTACACGTTCTTCTGTTCCCTCGATTTGGATCGTGTTTCCCGAAAGGAGATCTCGCTGTTTGATTTGTATCGGGTTTAATGGACTCGGTGGACCCTACCTTTTTTCTCAGCTTCCGACTCAACGGGTGTACGCGTCCGTGGCTAGACTTTTTTCTCAGAGTCACGATCAACCAGGGATAGGAACCAGGACAGTCGTCACGAGGATCACGGCGACGAATCTGTCACGGAACGGGCGAATAGTACGCGTTTGGTAATCCCGAACGACGAAATCTCTGTGACGAGACGTACCGGCGAAGCGACGCATGTAAAACGTGCTATTAAATAAGTCATCACCGCAGAGATCCGTCCAGCCAGCATCCCAGCCCGGTATCCCGACGTCTCGGAAGCAAACCAGATTCACCTCACGGATGCACACAATCGCGCGCCTATTAACATTTTACAGAGCCAGAGAGCAGGGAGACAGAGGAAGAAAGAACGGAGAGCGTGCATGGGCTGTTTACCGTGAAGATCAACGTATCGCGGACGGCTCAACCGACAAAGCCAAATTAATTTGCAAATCGTTCTCGATGCGGGATCGTCGAAGGGATCCTCGGTCTGCTCCCTAATCGATATACCGAGTGTTCATCGTCGTAAGTCCCGGCCTGTATCGACGAGCCAGGCACGCGAACACAGCCACCCACAGCCAAGTTCGTGGAGCAGAGGTCGAGACGCGAGACGGAAACGGAGGAACGAATACACGTATGCGTAATCTTCGAGTGGATATCGGGATGGATGAAAAAAATTGCAACTTCAGATGCTGCTACGGCAAGCATTTCTGACCCGTATCTCGCGCAATCCTCGTTGCCCCTTCCCACCTCGCGTACCCTGCTACTTTTGTCTTCTTACACAGCCGGCTCACCCCGATCTCTGTCACGGGACTCGGCTACGTGCAAGGGTGCATCTCGCGGACCTGGTTACCACGCTCGTAGGCACATATGCACTTTTGTCTACGCGACGCGTGTGCGCCGACTTGCCAGCGCGAGCAAGAGAGAAGAAGCCAGTCAGCCAGCCAGCCAGCCAGCCAGCCAGCCAGCCAGCCAGCGGAGGAGGTAGATCTCTCTACGAGGAGAGAAGACCAGATAGTGGGGACGCTGAGAGAGGGTGAGGACGATCCGCTGGGGATGGGCTGACAGTGAGACTTTTATTAGGGAAGGAATCAGCAAGCATGATTATGTACCTTAGAGCGTCTCCACCTCCGTTTACCAGTTCCGCCCTCCTCCTCACCCCGCCTTCGCCACCCACCCTCCCCGCACGTCCAACCACCCTTCTTCCTACTTCGTCTCCGTCACCGCGCTATCGCCACTGACATTGCACGACGACGACGACGACGACGAGACTACGACGACCGACTACGAAGCTGCCACCCCGTCGCAGCTGCATTGTCAACCCCTTCCCTCCGTCAACCCGCTGCTCCCTGCACTCGCGTATATGCACGCATTGGCGTAGAACGCTCAGGAATCGACTGCGGGGGCTAGACAGGCGATTACTCGGCTACGCGAACATACTCCTCGGCTCTCGTTGCATCTCGTGTCCGAGATAAGTCGCGTTTCGCGGTGCCTCTTCGTCTTCGAGGCTCGCTCGAGGGTTATTACGAGGGAAGGGGTCGAAAGGGGTGTAAATAGCTGGAGTATTTATCGGTACTTACGATGAACGTTGCCGTGGCGATTTGAAAGATGCTGTCCCCTGGAACAGAAGAAAGCTTCGATTAGTATAACGTAACGGATCGTCTTCGTTTGTACGGGCGGGGGGGTTGAAATTTTCGAGGAATATTTTCTAAAATTGCTAAAATTCGGATCTTAACGATCGATTGGAGATGATTTTGGAGATACGAAGGGGAGGAGAATCTTGGTTCGATTCCTCGGCTCGACGGGGAGGAAAATTAATTATCGCGCTGCCCGGGCAGACCCCGAAGAATCGAGTGCCGTTCGAATCCCTCGCAGTGTTACCGAATTCGTCGTCCGGAGATGAAAACGCAGAGAACAGAGCCGTCCTCCACGAAATTTGCATCTCTGCCTCGCCAATGCCGCCCAAGGCGATATTGTCGTCACAATGAAACCACCCACCCCCCGAAGCTCGCCATCCCACCTCTCCGATACACACTCCGACACAGCGATGTCATGTGCGGGTGTCGCACTCGAACTTTCGCCTCGAACCAGATGCGCGAAACTTCGCGAATTCTGATCACGCATACATCACGGCAACGGATAACAAAAAAAAAAATTTTATCAGCTTTTTTCTATTTTTTTTTCTCCCCCCCCCCTCGCTTCATCTCTCTCTCCCTCGTTCGCCCTTTTTATTTTTTTGTTTCTTTCCGCGTTCTCTTTTTCTATTTTTTTTTCCTTTCCTTTCTTTTTTTTTTTTTTTTTTTTTTTGTTTCAGTTTTTTCGAGTTGTCCCTCCGGACACGGTAAAATCCTTTTGAAACAACCGTGCCGCGCCGAGCCGAAACTTGCGCCGGAGAAAATTTAGATGCAGATGACCGGCCTCGTCGCTCGAAACTTTTTAATTTCGAATTCACGTTCCGTCCGACGGATTTAGTTTTCGATAGGTATTACCGGCCCGAAATAGTTGCGCTGCCTTTCCGCTAATTTACATCGCACTGCAGCTGCCGGCCGACGCGCCAGTCGCCGTGTCTCGAAGTTTCCGTTTTTGGCGATTAAATTGCCACTTTGGCGGAAAAGCAAGGGTGACGCGGGTAGACGCGCTTTTGTGCCGCGACACAATGGGCGGAGATGGGTCGAGTGGAATGCGTTAAATTCCGACGAATGGTAATTATGTTTACGTTTCTTCCAGTAATTCGTTCAGTCTCGCTTCCCATTCCAAGCGGACCTTGTCATCGTTTGTTCCGAATTTTCTGTTTCTTGGGATATTGACGTTTACTGCATAGCTGCTCCGAATTTAATTAATTTTATTTTTAAACGCAGACAAATAATAATTGGGAAAGATGGAGTGACTTTTATAGAAATATTAGAGATTTGAAATTTATTTTTCGAAACGAGAATAGCCATAATCTCGAGTCGATCTTGGTAACTCTGTTTCATAATTGCGAACACAGATGTCGCGATTAGTTCGGATTCCAGGTTTGCACGATTTGAAAAATTGTTGCACGCGAATGATCGCAAAGTACTATTTGGTAATTCGAATTTTATATTTGTAGCTATTATTAATCAAGCTTTAATTTATTTACAACGGGAACCGTGTGCCGTTACACACGGACTTGCACGATACGATCACCGTGACTTCGATAATCGATAATCGTTCTTCGCAAACATCGCCTAAATTTCATTTAGGACAGATAAAAAAGAAATGTAATTTAGATTATTATAGAAGCGAATTGACTGTTTCCAATTCTTTTTAAACCATCTGCTTCGTTAACGACGTTTTATGTTTTATATCGCCTTTGTTGTACCGTCGTGTTCGATTCATGAAATGGAAAAACGGAATATAAAAACGTAATCGATCCTGTTTTCACCTTTCCGCGATCCATTTTATCGTACGCGAGTTTGATACGCGAGTTGGGAAAAAAGGTACGCCGAGAGCGCGAGGATTTAGGACTTAGTTGCCGTTAAGGAGGATGAAAGATATTTAATTGACGCGAATTTTGAGAGGAATAATTTTTCTACCTGGACTTTGGACGTCCCGATCTAGTTGGCCAAAAAGAATAACGCACTCGAATGACGGAACGTATGAAGTATGCATTTACATATGCATGTCAGACAATGGAGAACAAGGCAGAAATATTTGAAGATACACACGTGTCGATTCGAAATTTACACACGTGCATGTCACGTTCAAATGAAAGGAAGACACATCAAACAGCTCTTTGGAAAGAGGAAATAACGTTTCGTATCTGGCTATAGTCATTTATCGATGCCACAATAGCGATAATCTTTGACTGTGATGCAACGTTTTTCCTCAAATTTCTTTCATTCCACGAGATACACATAATCCTATACCCGCTCAAAAATTGCTCAAATTAAACACAAAATTACTACTTTAAATATAAAAAAAAGAAAAGATGGATTTTAGAATCTGCATTGTCATAAATTATTCAAAGTTTCGGATAATTCCAATTCTATTCCACGGTTACTTCAGAAAAGACTACAGAATAATATGTAGCAAATTCGTATTGCATAAAATGCAAGAACAGTACAACCAAATGAAACATCCATCTCCTCGATCACCTTATCCCAAATACATAAACCAACCCCTACTCGTGGAAGTCCCAAAAGTCACCGAGAGTTTATACATTTATCACAAGATATGTGCAATCATATATTCACCCAAAAATTGTTCAAATTAAATACAAAATTACTAATTTAAATAATAATAAAAGATAAGGTGGATTTTGGAATCTGGATTATCATTAACTGTTCAAAGTTTCAGGTAATTCCAATTATGTTCTATGGTTTCTTCTTCAGAAAAGACTATAGAATACGATACTATGCAGCAAATTCGTATTGCATAAAATGCAAGAATAGTACAACAAAATGAAACATCCATCTCCTCGATCAACTTATCCCAAATACATAAACCAACCCGTACTCGTGGAGGTCCCAAAAATCGTCGAGAGCCTATACGCAGCTTCCTCCTTGCTCTCCCATCTCCTTTACCTTCAACTCTGGACAAGCACTCCTGTATATCATCAATTTCCCGCGGAACAGCGAAATTTCGCGAATCAGAGCGCGCCTTTCCACCCCCTATTCAACTTGGCCCGGCGAAGGATGCATCGAGGCAGCGCGAGGGTTAGGAAGGAAGAAGGACGAGACTAAGGAGGTCATAGGTGTGAGGCATAGTTCGACGCCAGTATCTGAGACAGTTTCGGCGGCAAGACTTAACAAATAGGCAAAGTTTTGTCCCGAGGACACCGGGACCGGCGGATTCTCCGGCGCTGCCACGACATCCTCTCTCCTCTTTGTTCCCAAGTTTATGATGTATTAGATGTTCCCCCGTTCGTTCTGCCGCGTTCCTTTCCTCCGTTCCCGCGCCTTTCGGCTGACCAATTTATACAGGTCCGACGCGAAACTTCCATCCAAGCGAATTAACGACGCTCCTGGCCGCGATACGCAACGATTTAGAGCTATCCAGGGGGATGTTTGACGCGATCGAAGGAGCGAGCTTGGGTCATTACAGCGTTACCCAGCAATTTCCCATCATCGAGATAGAGTGTATCCGATTTTTCTTTTCTAACCCTTCCAAGACCGAATTGGAAATTATCTAATATTCTTTATCATGGGGGTGGAGTGAACGGTACTTAATTTTTAACGGGACCGAAATTTGCAAAATGATTGATATTTTAAAAATACGAATACACAGAGATTTACATAGAATCCGTGTTAACTCTTTGGGGCACGCTGGGATTAAAAGTGACCCACCTTTTCGATGCACCGTAATGCATGGTGGGACAATTTTAGTCCCACCTCGAAATATTGCAATAAGTTCGTGTGCATACGTTTATATTTCGCCTTATTTACGTAAAGCAGTTGGTAACACCTTCGACAAATGTTATAAATGTATTCGCTTGTGTTAACAACATTTAATATGGAACGGTGGGACTATTTGAGTCACACCCTATAACAACAAATTTGATTCAATTATTATTGTATTTTTATGTTTTTACATTACGTGATTCCTTTATTAGTAAAAATATACCAATTTTGTTTGATTTAAAATGCAATAAAATTTTTATGCAACATGGGTCCATTTTATTATGTGAAATCCTGTTATGGTCATCGAGGGGTTAATTCATAGTAATTCTTTCTCACTCCAGCGATCGAATTGTAGATGACATAGTACCTATACCTGTCGACTGTTTCGAGATTTTTAGGATACATATGTGGAACTGGTTTCATGGGTGAGAGATGGTGAAGTATGGGTAGAAATAACGTGTGAGTGTTGACATGCGGCGAAAAGATATTTGTTTCACGTGCGAGGGGACAATCTTATGGTTGCAACATTCGGTGATTTAAATGAGTCAGTCCCAGAAAGAGAGAGAAAGCGGGACAGTACATATTATGAGCAATTATAATTATTAACTACATATGTCTATCTTTTAATTAAAACTAGATTTACGAACTGAGCCAATATGATTACTATATATGTATATAAATATTAAATATTATTCTTTAAAAACATATGTTGGTTTTTAGTTACATAATGAAATATATGTAAATTTAATAATTGATTCCTCTCCCCCACAGACCCCTTCATTTCATGTTTGCGGAAAATGTATTGTAAACGCAGAATTTATACGTAAAAAATGTTTTCAATGAATTTTTTAATAATAATTCTTTCATTTAAATTGATTTGCAACTATTTTCTTTGCAAAAAACTTCAATTTTCTTGTAAAAATAGGTATATAATCAACATCCTTAATCCAGTATTAATAATAATAGCATTATAGTATTTCATAATAGTAGGATTTTAATTTCACCATGAAAGTTACAATGGAGGAAAAACTATAATAAATGGTCTCGCAAAAAATTTTATTTGCATGCTCTGAGATTACAGGCTTGTCAAACGATTCGATACGTAAATATTTTTATTAAAAAACTCCTTTGATTTTTATTTCGTCGATGTTTACTCTGGGATTACAGCATTACACCGAGCTACGAGAGCCGATTCGCGTGTGGATTTTTATTAAATTAATATTGCCCTGTATCCGTGAATGCGTATGGTCTTGGA